AATAATAATTATTTTTTTATAAAAAAATATCAAATCTTTTTAAAATATTAAATATTTGTTTAAATATATATATTAAAAATATAATTAAATTATATTGTAAATTATATTATAAAATCAAATTTATTGTAAATTATAATCAATGTAAAATAAGATCCGGTTTCCCTCCAAAAGCAGACACAATAAACAAAATGGCGACTAGCGTGCATACAGCATTGATGTATATAGAAATTTATTATTAAATTATAATATTTTTCAATATAAAAGATATCATTTATATGTAATATAAATAAATAATAAGATTTATATTTATTTTACTATGTTCACTTGATTATAAAGTGAAATATACATACCTTTTTCTTAATTGCTTTGTAACAAAATCAAGAAATGCACTTTTTCGTCCAAAGATATCAGACTTTTGTCGGTTAGTGTTTTTTCAGAAACATAGTTTGGTCTGTGAGAGATAGGAGACAGCACTGATTCAGATACACATCATATGATTGGTTGATATTTCATAACATTGTTTGCCATTAGTTAATATTTAACGAATAAATATATTTGTTATGGAACTTATAAATTCATAATTATTTTAATANTATGTGTTTATAAATTTTATATTTTATAAATGAAAAATATAAGTAATATTCCATAATGCATTATAACATTTATCAAGAACAAAGTTTAAATTAATTTTTATAAATATATTTTATAAATAAATATTTATATAGATACAAATAAATTTTATTTTCGATATAATAATTTTATAGAGTAATAATAATTATTAATATAAATATAATTTAGAAAAAAAAGATAATTGATCTACTTAAAAATAAGGTTAATTAAATGAAAGAAAACTTTAAAAATTTATTTTTAATATATAAAAGATAAAAACAAATTAAATTTTTTTAATAAATATAATTAAAAAACTATAAAAAATTATAAAAAAATTCAATGAAAATTATTTTTAATTATTCATTGTCAATTGTAAAAATAACAATTACTTTACTAACATCATGGTACAGAAATTATTAATGTACTTTATTTTTTAAATGATCAATTTTATTGATTTACAATATTTTTCTTTATAGTTCACTACCTAATAATAGCATAAGAAGCAATAATAAACATTCGTTCTACAAATTACGCCATGAGATAGTTATTATCTTTANATGTATATATAAACTTTCAGTCATCAAGAAAATATTAAAACAAAATTTATTTACTAACATTCTAATTACAGCTATATTAATTTAAATATGTTATTTAAAATTGTATTGCCAAAAATACGTGTCATCAATATTAACTTTTTTTGTCACTTGCACATAAATGATGCTTTTTTTTTTTATTATTCAATTTGTACTGACATTCATTAGAATTTGTCTACACTCGTTAATGACAACGAAAACTTCTTACTGCATTTTATTACATTTTAATCTTTCTTTCGGTATGCGATCAGATATGAAATTTTTCGAGCATCATGCAGATACTAATTATAGATACTATTATTGGTTTCTGAATAATTACATCAGTTTGGCAGGACATGAACATCAAAAATGCAAGCCCATATTACTTTTGTACTTTATAAAAATTCATGTGGAATGTAAAAAATTATCTATTATCTATTATACGTAATATTACAAATAAAATAACAAAGCTTGATTTATTTATTCAATATTTTTGTTCTCTTTTAAATAAATAAAATATCTTACTATACAATTTACTTAAACTCAAATTTAAAAAATTGATTGTATATCATATACAAAATATTAAATGATGTCTAAACAATTTTTAGTAACTTTAAGCTTGGATTTTATGTAATATACAAAAGAAAATTACTTGAAAATATCTT